TGGTTCACTGAGAGACCAACAAGACCCTACAATTTGTTATATTTATAGAAAGGTAAAACATTCATCATTTTTTTTTTTTGTTTTTGTGTTGTGTTATTGTTTTATTTTGTATGTGGTTTTGTTTTTGAGCAACTCTTAACTTTCTGCCACAATGAGATACTTCAAGCTCAAATTGTTGATTTCCTATTCCAGTCCTAGATTTGTCCAACTGGTTGCTAGTGCTGGGAATTAGTATTAAAACTATGTACATATACTAGGTTTGTTCTTTTCTATTAAAATGTCATTTGTTCAAGTTTTCTGCTCCCAGAAAGAAAATATTATATGTACATGCATTCCCATTTATGCATATATACATATATGCCTATGCATATTGCCATGCATATATTTCTTTTAATGTGAATTCATCTGAGTTCACATTAACCTGTAGAAGATTCTACACTGACATCTCCAGTTTTAACATAATGCTATACTAATCATTTAAAGCCTTTTCACTTTCTTATCTGTAGTTTTTCTCTCCAAAATCTATGACTTTGCTCTCATTCTAACAGTGATTATGCTGGATCTATACATTCCCTTGAGTAGACTTGGCATCTTAAAAGTGCTTCATTTTCCAGTGCATAAATTAGGAAAGTAACAGGAAATCTATCCTTTTATTTAAAATTTTATTTTATTTTCCTAATTAGAGAGATTCCACAAACACATTTTGTACATGTCTTGTTAAATTTACAAGGGGGTAAATATATCTTTCTAAATGATAACAAATATATGGTATATTTTGCACTCTCATAAGTGCCCACAAGAAATTATATATTTTTTATAGATTATAAACGATTACAAAGACATCATTGATTTAAGTCTTTGTTATATCAACAGGAGCTCTTAATTATATCCATGGTAATCTAACCTCTTGAAGTTTAAGATATGTTATTTAAGTTTTTAAAGCTGTCTACTTTTCATGTGTGTATAATTATGGCCTATTTTGGGAAGAAAAACATATCTTTAGTCACAGGACCTTAATATATTTTTTCTGCATTTTTTAAAACTCTCTGATATTTGATAATTATTACTCTCCCATTGAAATCATGAGCATAGAAATACCATTTTTTAAACTGTTGACATCTTGACTACATTATAAGATATTGTAAGGACAGTGTCCTATTATTCTGCAGTTGTTCTGTACTTCATGTCACACACAGAGAGTGCCCTAGATCTCACTTATAGTAATATGTAAAGTTAGTTCATTTCAAGACACTCATAGACACTGGGAAAATTGTTCATCAATTTTTGCAGACTAACAGGAACATTATATATTCCATTCACCACTGAAATTACATTCAGGATATTTCATTAGATTCTGACCAGAAAAAAGCACTGAAAATGTTGTACGTTACTGTCAAGCAGGTCACACCCATGGTCAGTTGTCCAAGGAGTGCTTATAAATGTCAATGATTACATTATCAAAGCAGGAAGAAAAATAAGGTCAATATGTACTATCTATATGTAACAGAATGGATGATATTTAAGAATTGTAATTCTAAAATTAAAATTAATTAATATTAAAAAGTCTTTCAAATGAGATATTTTTGAACAAGGTATTTTTTCCTATAATATGGCAGACCCTCAAGTTTGTGTATTTTTAAAAATAATACCTTTGGAGAAATAGTACTTAGATTTTGCAGCATCTTTCACGTTAACCATTTCATTTAATCTACATTTAAATCTATTTTATTTACCAGGATTTTTCAAAATGTTGTATGTTTGCCATTATTTGTGTCCTTTGTTATTTCAATGAAAACAAAGAATAAAAAAAGAGGATTTCACAACTCTTTAGCAAACTGAAATATTTTTAAAAAAACAGAATAGGTCTTGGAAAAATATGATGAAACCAATTAAAGGTTGATACATAAAATTTGTGACAGATGGCAGGACCTTTCTGGTCCCCTAGAGTTCTGACAACTTTGACTGTGAGCTGTGGTTCTGACTGTGAGCTTCGGCTCTTACCAGCTTGCAGAATTTCACACGCCGCATCCACCACACTTCAAGGCCCTTGATTTCACCACAGGGACACAGTCCTTTGTAAATCTACACAATTTCAAAAATTGAGATTTCTTTGCAAGTTTGAAGAGTCTGGCCCCTTGCCTCAGGGGTCCTACCCCTTTATGGAGATCAGACTATGAATTCCTCTTTCAAACTAGAAATCAGCCTCTGCAACAACCCCCTGAAGGAAAGTGGTTAAGAAAAAATAATATAATAGGAAACGAAAAGATGCTTCTGTTTCTGCTGCTGCTTTGCTAATAAATATCAGATTACATTCTCTGGGGCCATGCTAAATTTGTAAAGAACACATTGTGCCAGACAAACTCCATTGCTTTTTTGATAAACTCACCCAATTAGTGGATAAAAGAATGGAATGGATAGAAAATATCTTGATCATAATAAAAAGAGTTGATAGCAATTTACAAATACACAGTCAAACATATTTTGATTGAAAATTTAATTCAAATTACCTTAGCTGCAGGTATTGTCGTATAGATAGAAAATTGAATGAAGAACGTCCATAAAGAAAAGATAATGAAAAATACTGACAAAGAAATCTATCATGGGGCCTTAAAATCTTAATGAATATTATATAAAGAGGCTAAATACCCAGACTTTAATTTCTCACTTTGTCTACTCAATTGAGAAGTTTCACAGTTAACAACAGAAATTATTTTACCTTGCTTTTTAAAAGCATGCCATATTTAGATAGATTGCACTTCTAGTGTTTACTGCATTGCAGATATTAATTCTTTACTTCATAACTTCAGCCATAGTAAATTCTAAGGAAATCCTGACAAGTGGAAGAATTATTTTAGGAGCGCTTGTTGTATTAATGCATACTGAGAGCCGGTGGAAGTGAAGAGAAAGATCCTAGGATTGGTGTAATTGCTGTAGGTGCAACATCAGCTATCCTCATGTAAGATGAGATACTGCAGTTCCATTAATTACATAACTCACCGCCTAGGAATTGTGGAGATTCAGCCTTCAAGATAAAATGCTGGTGGTTTAGGTCATAGTTGAATTATATTTTCCCTGAATCAAGAGAAATTATGAAACACTGGAACTAAACTTTGAGTCCTGATCTTCCTCTTAAAAAGCAAATAAACATGTAATATCTCATAACTATTTTTATCTTCTATTGCCTTCCCTGTAACATAATGATAGTAACACAGAGTTACATAGGTATATGTCAAGGAACTAGAAAGCATACATTACGAAAATGTTGAAAGATATTAAAAGTTAATGTGTAGGCATCTATAAGCATTCAAATATCTGATATATACAATATGCTCAGGTTTTTACCTTATTTTAAAATAAATATTTAATTATTAATGGTAGTGATCATGGCTAGGATGATATCCCAGGAATTGAAAAAATATCCACCTGGGTAGGAACCTGATATTTTCTCAATGTTTTGTTTTGCTTTGTTTTATTTTGTAATAAGAGAAACATATGATCTGCCTCCATTTCCTCTACTGCTAGATTTTGTTCTTCATAAGCAAACCACTTCTGGGTTATACATTTGTGAATTCCATACATTATGTCTTTCCCTTAGGAATGCACACATTTGTACTTTTTAAAAATTCTGACTGATGTCTACAATTCTTTTATCTTTTCTGTATCCTCTTCACTGCACTGATTAGGCTCATTGATCCCTTCCTATGAAATTGCATTAAAAATGAAACAATTAGCCATGGACACAAACAGACAGTCACAGATATATCAATAACTGATTGATCAACTTCCTAATTTTCAATATATGGAAGTAATTTACACCACAGCTATTTGTTAATAAACTGAACACAACTTTAAGGCTTCAAAGTGTCTGTGTTCTTTGAAAAAACCCTTAGCTCATAAGCATATCCAATACTTCATCTGTAAAATGGGAGTTATGGTCTCTGCACTGCCTACAGTATAAAGTTTTTATGAGGCCACAGAACTTTTATGAGATTCAAGTTATTATTTCAAAATTCTTTGCACCCCTTAAGTACCTTAGAAAATTGATAAAGCTATTAAGTGATCCATTTGTTGAACAGGAAAGAGCAGCCCAGCTCTCATTATTCTCTTTATAGCATCTAAATGGGGATATTTTTAGCTGCTATGAAATTTTTATTTGCATCACAAGTAATTTCATTTTGGGTTGTTAGTGAATAAGGAAAATAACAGTCTATATGTATTTTAATATAAAAATTTGGCATAGTCATTTTATAAGAATTTATCTTTTATAATGTTATATAATTTTCGTGTGTGTGTGTGTGTGTGTGTGTGTGTATATGTGTGTGCTTATACATACAGATATATACACATGTACATATGTTTTGAAGATGGTTTTCCTGATACCTTCAACTATTGTCATCCCTGATTCAATTTAAGTAAGTTAGAAAGACAGCATGTAGTTGGAACAGACAGATGAGGCACTGATTTTTCATTCTTCAACATTTCAGCAACAAAAATTCTTCCATACATCTCTTCACTCAGCTGTGCTGTACCTCCTCTGTTTACTGTGCTGTATAATATTTGCTAATATTTTGTATTTTAATGGAAACATAAAAATTATACATATGTAATATAAAGTGAGAATCTCGTTCAAATATAATGTATGTAATGAAGAATTTTAATACTTTATATTATGGTACAAGATATTATGCTAATGTTTTCTATTATTAATACTGCTCAATTATAGGGCAACAGTAGGAGTACAACAGAGGGTGCACAGTGTGCTGTGTATGAGTATAAGTTGGCAGAGCTCGTGCTAGTAATAGGAAATTTTGGGACAATTCTTTATACTATGTCTTATCCTGGGTGAAGGACAACTCATCTTAATGTAGTTTTAAATGAATACTAACTCTGAATAAACCATTTTTTTTAAAATTTCTAGGAAAAGTGTAACTCAGGGGTGCAGTGCCTGCCTGGTAAGCATCATGTCCTGAGTTTGATTACTGGCATTAGAACAAAAAAAGATTGAAGAGTGCAAAATTGTTCAAGAAAAAAGAACATTTTAAGCAATGACTGTACCTTTGAATAGCCACAAACATCAGCAATACACCTATCCCAGGTATCCTTAAATATACATATAAATTTTGTTTTTGATTTAAAAAAACAAAATAACAAAAGCAAATACATAAGCAAAACAGTGTACAGAACAATTAAAATGATACAGAATTTCAGAACATTATAGGATATTAACAATGGTTGTTGTTTTACATAATGTTATCTTCAAAATGATTACATATATAACCATATGTAGGCATGCAAGATTTATCAAAGAAATGCACATTAACAATTCTTCCCAATAGACTAACAGATATTACTTGTACAATTATCCTAGCTATCCTATATACACAGGATAGCTAGGATAATTGAAATACATATTTGAAAACAACAATATGCAGTGTGTAACAACCATTGTTGAATTCCTACTACCTTATACAGTGAAGCGCTGCATCATTTCCAATGTTGTTTTTTGTTTATTTGTTCGTTTGTTTTGTTTGTTTTTTTTTACTTGTTACTGTCATTGATTGTCTGATCAATCGTACATTCTTATGTCTAGTATACTGAGTATCTTCACTGAAGATAACAGTATGTAATGTAGCAACCACTGTAAATTCCTATCATTTTGTTTTGAGGTCATGTATCGTTTTGTTGTTTTTGTGTTGTTTTGATTTTGTCTTTATTGTTTTGTCAGTTTTTTAATTTTTACAAAACTGTAACCTGCGGGTTGGCTAAGTGAAAGGTGTACTTTCTGTTAAAGTAAATTTTAGTTTTTGAAATCGGAAGAATTAGTTATAGTCGTTGACAAGTATTTTCATTTTAAATTTTCCATTACTCAGTTTGATCAATAGGGATAACAGCCTTACCTCATAATAACTTGGAAATTGACCACATTATATATATTTAAATATATGAGGACATGCTCAGATCCCAGTGAATATATTTATGTTACAGACTGGACTATAATGTAGAAATGAGAACCCAAGTTCAGGCTCTCGTGACCATAGTTGATTTGGAAGACGTAAGTCAGAGTGATGGAATAAGCTACTTGACTGTGTGAAGCCCGGAGAGAGGAACGAGTATCATAGACAACTGCGGAGCTAGTGTTCTTTATTGTTGTTTTGTTGAATTCTTTTTTTTTTTTTTTTTCAGAAAGAGACTACATTTCTCAATCATCTTTTAAGGAGAAATACGAATGTGTAACAACAAGCTCTGAAATTATACTGCAAGTTGGTAGTTGCACGTATTTATTCTATAACTTGTTTTACCCTTTGATGCAAGGCTGTTGCATGGGTTGTTAAATTTCCTGTGTTTCCAGGTTAGTGGGCACCGCAGTACAGAGTACTAACCTGTATATATTGAAGGCACTAGTACCAAAGAGGTCGAAGAGCAGAAAAACCTGGTGTATCTAAAGAATTGACCAGGTTAAATTTTTTTCCTAAATTCTTTTTCTTTGTTGATGATTTCTTTTGATATGCAAAAATTTTTAAGTAGGAGATCCCAGCTGTTGATTCCTTAAGTAATTCCAGCAGAAAATGAGAGTCCAAGATGTCCAGTGGGACTATAATTCAGCACTGTTGAAATAAAACAATTAAATTTACTGTGTTCTTTCCAAAATACAATCTTGGGGCTGTGTATCCCACCCCCACTCTTCCCTTTCATCTTTATCTTCCATTTAATGATATATTATTTAGACATTTTTAATAAAAAAATTATTATTTTTAGTGTACCAGTCTTCACCTTTGACAAATGTACTGAAGCATACGTGCACAAACATATTCTTTGCCTTTCAATGAAGTTTTTGCTGTTAGACTAACCTGATGGTACTCAGTACAAATTCCTTGCCATTTATAACTATTCTTCCCTGACAATATATCTCCAAAATGAGAGTAAATGAGAAACATATTCTTTCTAGAACATGCAACAGAGTATGTTTCAGACTGGCAAAATAGTTTTAACTACCGAAAATGGAGAAAGACGTACATGTGTTTTCTTCGGGCTCTCTTGTTTACACTGGTGTATGACTAAAATGTTTCCATTTTAGTACCCACTTAAAGAAATGCATGAAAAATCAACTAACGTCTAACCAAATGTAAATTACTTAAAATGTCTAAGTAATGTAATTCTCAGAAGTGAAAAGATCCACATCCAAATATAGAGAATCTGTGACTATGGAACCCAATATAATAATAGTGAAGAAACAATCACTGACAAGTGTAATCCATGTAAAACTGGGGCAGAATTATGTTTGTATTCTATTAATATGGAAAACTTTCATGTGGAAATGTTATTTAAAGTTCATCTTTAAGTCAGTTCACATAGATAAACCAATTTCTTAAGACCAAACTCAATTTTAATATGAAAAGTATTGGTACCATAACAAATATAGCTCTTTCAATAGCCACATATTTTGTGTCCATTGGGAAAAAAAGGGTAGATCAAAATGAAAAAACTCATTTGCTATAACTTATGGGCTCTGTTCTTTATATGCCCCCCAAACTAAGTCTGTCAGCCAATCTCATAAGTCTTGTTATATTTAGTAAGCACAGTGAGGGCAGAGGCCAATAAAATATGATATGAGCCTTGTCATACATACTGGAAAGATACATGGAAAGTTTCAGTAACTACTTATTAAATAAACAGTTGTTAAATTCCATAATATCATAGTAGTTTAAATTAAATTTTTAATAATAACTCATACAACAACCCTAAGAACTGGTAAGCATAGAGAAAATTAAAAAGGAGAGGTCATAGAGACCCGTGTACACATCATCTCTCTTTACACAGGTACTGAACATGCAAGAATTGAAGAATCTTGACCATTCAGGCAGTTACTATGGAGCTGTGAAAAGTTACCCCTCATGAACTCCACTTTTCCTGGGTACTGGTTTCCCAAGAGAGAGATAAAGTTATATAACCATACCAGATAAATTTAAAGTTTCCCTCTTCCATATATAAATAGAATGAAGACCATATTACTTTTAGGACCACCAAGGATTCCTCATAAACAGTCACTATATATTGCTGTATTTTGTCATCTATACTCCAGCTCACTTTTCTCTCTGGCCACTTTTGACATTTCACAGACAGCTTTGTATTTGGTAAAAAAAATTTTTTAAAAAAAGAAAGAAAAAGGAAAAAGGAAATGTGCAGGTTTTACTTGATATCTACAAAAACAAATGAAAAACATTTTTCTTATCACTTACAAGAGAAATAAACATCTCTTGTTACCAAAAGTGAGAAGCCCCTTTGAAAATGTCGTTGGTAAAAGTAAGAACAATGGACAAGCAAATACAAACAAAACCAAATCTATTCCCAATGGTTCACTAACTTAGGAACAAATGACCTAATTAGAGACACTAAAATAACAGGAGAGAACCATATGCGAAAGTGGAAATAAGATGCTTTGCCTCTGGGATGAAAATATGATTTTCTATTGCAGAAGTAATAGCTATTGCTTTTATCTTTTTGAATAATCACTTTATAATAAACCTAGTTAATCTTAAGTCAGACATAGAAATTACTTTTAATAGTCAAATTATTTCAGTGAACTATAGAAGATTTTGAACAATACAAGATCTCTGTTTCCAGCCATTTAAAAAAAAAATCTTTAAAAGAACTTAAATGAGATTCAGCAAACTTATTTGGGGTGGAAGAATAACCTCTGAGCTCCTAGAATGATCATGAAATCCCAAGTCTTTGCAATGTCCATGCTTTGTCAGTGTAAACTATTTTACATTATAGAGCTGGCACTAAAAAGAAGAAATCAGTTTTTCAAACTAGCTGACAAGCTAAAGTAGACTAAATTATATGTCAGGGGATTCTGACTGTCCAATTGGGTATGTAAATATAGTATGGTAACAAATTATCAGATCCATTGGATGAAGCTTTTTCCAATGTGCTTTCTGTGCTAGGATTTTGTGCACCACAAATACATTGAACCCTCTTTCCAAAGGAATGGAAGAAGACAGAAGTTTTAGTAGTGTTTCAGTTTATAAATATACCTCAGAAAGTACATATACGACTGTTTACTTTCTCTAAATTCATGTACCTATGATTCACATGTGACAAACATGGAGATTCTTCATTGCTTACTTGTCAAACCAATTGGTTCTTTTCACAGCAGTGCTATTCCCCTTGCTCTAGTCAGGGTGACCATTACACTAATATTTGGAAAGCAACATGTAGAAATGAAGAGTCAGTCATTTAAATTATAGCACAAAGTAATATTAAGACGTTGACAAATTTGAGTTACTCATGGCCTTAGAACTCAATTTTAACTTTCCACAGAGTGCCCTGTGCTTTCCAAACATTTAAAATATCTTGATGAATGGATGAATGAATACACAACTAATCTTTAAAAAGTAAATATTTACTCATGAGTTCCTCAAACAATTATTGATACTCTTTGTACTAGGGCCTATCTTGGAGGAATATGGAATATGTTTTAAAAATTATAATAGAAAATCATAAAAGCTTTGCTATAAAAGGAATTACCTGTCTGTCTAGCATTTGAGGAGAAATAGAAGCAGGTAACATGAACAATTAAAACAAACATGGGTATACTATTTGAAATTATGTATATTTGTCCAGAAATAGATGAGAATTCTACCTTTTTTGACTAATTTTACTTAATAGGTGATATTTTGATGCAAAGTTTGATAAGTGTGTGATTTTCTTTCTTACTCTGTTCTGCATAGAATTTATTTAGAGATAGGGTTGCACTTTTATTTTCTCTCCTCAATTGTTTTAAAGCTAAGTTGACTTCTTTAAAAACAGAAATTCAATAGTAACCATGTGTTTAAGAAAGTATTTTAAAAGGTTAATGCATAACTCACAGCCATTTAAAATCTGCCAACATTGGGTGAATCAAATCCTATCTCTGGATTACACACGGAGATAAAACAGTCCATTTGTGTTGTTTGATTGTCATTACACACAAGCCCTAAAATATCGTCCTTCTTTTCAGGTCAAAACAATTATAATGGAAGTTTTCAGTTGCTTGCCAGGCACATATTACAGTTATAGAAGATTTTCACATAATCAAAGTTGGATATTTCTAGGGAGATCAAAAGAGATGGTGAAAGGGAGAGCTGGTGTGGCACACTCTTAGAGGATCTGAGAATGCAATTAGATAGCAAATGAGCTCTTGTGGAGACAGGCTTTCAGAAGAGACAGCAGAACTCAAACCACAGAGAAACAAGGTGGCAAAGGACCACTCCTGAAAGGACCATGCACAGAGGCATCTGCCCTGGCTCTTCAACATTAGGAAGAGAAAGAGATTCAATAGAGACAAAACAGTCAAAACTACTATGCAAATCTAGGAAACTCCAGTAGGAGGTAACAGAGCAGACTGGTTTCAGGAAAGCTCTTGTAACACTACAATTCCTCTTTCTCTTCGCCAGTAGCACCAGCAAAGGTAACAACCACCAATGGCATTTGAAGCAAAACTGGAGTGAATCATGGTTTAATCTCTCTACATTAACAGGGGAAGTCCAAAATTACTTCAGTAACAGAGAGCCATACTCACAAAATTTAGAGCAGCATTGCCAGTTATTTACCCATATCAATGAGAAAGACTTAACCTCTCTGAGTGTCTACTCTTTTATTTGTAAAGTGCCAATAATAATCATCATAACAGTACTGCTAGTGAAAAATGATTGTTATGAATTTTGCTTACAGAGCTATTATGAGAACTAATGATGAATATGTGAAGCACATGGATAATAATGAGGATTTGCTTTGTGATAGCTGTTATCTAACTGTATGGTAATAATTTCCTCAAGAGATAAGTATTAAGCCACTACTTCTAGTACACAAGATTTACAATGATGACACATTCCGTCAGGAATGTATATATTGCAGAGAAGCTCAAAAAACTAATTAGTAATGTACAGGTAATTCAGTTATATAGTGTTAAATTGCTCAATGGGATGAAAAGTGAAGAGAGAAGAGGGAAGAGTTATTAATCAGCAGAGAGTGCTTCATCCTCTAACAGCAGAGATAGGCACCTATGGCTCTATATTGTGTGGTAAAACATGCAAAGCAAGGCTACTGAAGTTTGGCTTTCCTTTTACTTTGGTAAATATTTACAAATTGAATACACTTTGGAGAAGCTTTCTGAATGTTTCATTTTGTATTGTTTTTGCTACATAGTTCAGACTGGACTTGAACTCACTATGTTCCCTAGGCTGATCACAAACTGGTGTCGATCCTCCTATTTCAGCGTCCCAAAGTCTGGGATTGCAGATGTGTGCTCCCACACCTTGTAAGGAAATATCGCTTTTAAAAATACTTCTCTCATCAACGACAAAAACAATATTAATCCCAAATTAAGGAATCATTAACACACCAAAATCAACATTCCATATATTAAGCTTAATATAATGTTGACAATAACTATTATTTTATCATTAATATTGCTGCTCAGTTTATTATTAGCACAGTCCACCCCTGCACGACCAGTATATGCTCTTATATTTAAAATGCCCCCGTGACAACAAGAAAACCTTTATTATATTATTATATTATTATTACCATCATTATTATTTTAGAATATAATTTAACTGGAAAGAAGTCAGTTAAATACAAAACTGCTCTACTGATTTAACATTTCATATGTTATTGAAATGTCAACACATTCATCCATATGACTGACAAAATGAAATTATCCTACTGCTCCTGTCTCCAAAGTCTTCTGAGTAGTTCAAAGTTGTGTTATGTGTATGTTTTTATATATGGATAGACATATAGATAGATAGATAAATAGATGGATGATAGATAGATGCATATTATATATAAAGCATATATATAAGCATTGATGTGCATATTATATATAAATTATATATATATATATAATCTATCCATGGACTACCTCCAATGTCATTGCTCAGAACTCCTAACACCTCTCACTGAATTTAGGCATCACTTTAAATGAAAATATCCTCCTGGCAGGTGCAAGGTTCTGAGTTCACCTCCCAGTACCACAAAAAAAAAAAAAAAAAAGAGCATTTCCTACTCAGGATCCAGAGAAGAGCAAATATATCACTTTCTAAATATAACTGCTGCAAATAAGCCAATACTGCCAATGTTAAGGAAGGTGTGCTATATGGGATATCATTTTTAATATATCAATAACTTTAAGTTGAGATTAACTTGCCTCCTACTGATGAGAAAACAATATCTGAGAATAACAATGCCATAGGTATTTAGCTAATAAATATTTACACTTGCATATTCATACTCTTATTTTTTTGCTTTTTATATTCTTATATCTAAAGTCTCTTTATTCTTTTAAAATATAAAATCTTAGAAATGAGTTTGATCATTTCACACAAACCAGAAGAAGTAAAGGAATTATCATTTCAACGCTATTCATCATTTTTTCTTTACAATCATCATACTTGAACCACCTTTAATTCTCAAGGTATTTTGGTAAATTAGGAGGCATTGTATTTCCTTTATCTTCTTCAGATTATCCATCCATACAAAAATTAACAAGGTGAAAGAAATTACCTCTGGTCCATGTCAAATTATTGCTATTTACTTTGGTGTTGAGCAAACAATACTGGAATCTAGACTAGTAAACCATCTCCATTAGATTGTGAAACTAGGATTTGTACTCCCCTGAACTGTGCGTAAATTTTTGTTCAGATACTTGCTACTTAAGTAATGATGGGCAAGCCATTAAACTTCTGCATGCCAAACAGCAAAGATAGCAGAACTTGCCTCAAAAAATTTAATACATGTTCAACCAGTTAGTCCTTGCAAAATATTTAGACCCTCTGTTGGCTAAATGAATTAAGCTAAATATGATATTTATTTCCTGCAATCGATAATATAAAATTATTTTATGCTTGTTTTCTCATCTGAGAAAGGACAATAAATATCTTCCTGCAGAATTATTGGTAAGAATATAAATAATCTTTGACATATGCCAACTATATTCTGAGAATCTATTTAATAATAAATACTACTTTTCATTAAGGAAGAAAATTCTTTTCTAAAGTGATATTTAATCTGAAATTGCATCTTCAGTTAGCTTTAGTTTTAAAGCTTACATACAATTAAACAGGAAATCATAAATTTGAAGTACAACTTGCTGTTGAGGTAAAAGAATCCTTCCTTCATACATAATAAGAGTAATTATTCCAACTTCTTCAGTAATAGTAAAATTTCAATCCCTTACCATGAACTCTGGTGCACAGACTGTACCACACAGCCAAAGAGCCTGGGTTCAACACTGTGACTCAGTTGAACCAATCAAATGTTCACAGGAGTACATATTTGCATGCAGATGTTGGCATGCCCTCTTGGCCCTCTTTAATTGACTTCAAAACTGTCCTAAGTGCTGGTATGGGGTTGTTTTCCTGTATTTCCAGAACTCTGATAAACTGAAGTAGGAGGCTGGCAAGTTTGAGCCCCATTTGGGCAATTTAAGGACTTAGCAAGGGCACATCTCAACATTAAATAAAGAGGGTGGGTGAGAGTGAGGCTCACTCTGAAGGTCCTGGCTACAATGGTCAGTACTGGGAAACAAGTATAATACAAGAATCTGCGCCTCCTTCAGTCTGAGCCTAAGAATGAGGAAAGCAAGTCAGAGTCATACCAAGTTGATTTCCAGATGTAAGGCTCAGTAACGTGTTCCTGTATACCGACAACTTGGTATGTTAACCTTTCATGCAGAATACTTGTGACACTGATTAACATTTCCACATAGCTGCTGACAAACATAGCTTTAGCTTCAAAGTGAGCTACTGGAAATTTTCACAAAATGAGCCTTGTTTCTTCTATAAAATTCATATTCTGTATCAGATTTCTCAAGTAATATGGCCCTATATTCCTTCCAAAAGCTAATTTTTCCCTGAGTTTTCAAGTATATCTTCTGGTATTCATGTAGTTAGTGAGGTGAGCTAGGGATGATAAATTTAAATGGGTTCTTTATAGTTTTCTTTTTCTTTTATTGTATATCTGACAGAGATACACATCCTAAAAATATGTTGTCAAAAACCTTTTCATTATTATTTTTCTTAGAAATAGTATGTGGATTTAAACTCCTGGTAATTATACCATATTCTGGAATTGGTCATGATGTTTGTTTAACATTTAATGTTGGAGAAAAGGTTTCCGTTCTAAGAATTTAAACTATTTGGCTTTTGTTTCAGAGCAAACTGGCAGCCAAATAAACAAATATTTGAATCATCTGACCGATGTTGAAATTTGGGTGCATTTAAACGGACTGTTCAATGTTCAGTCAAATAAGGAGACCACTCCTGTCATTCAGAATATCACACTGTTACTCGGAAATGATCGCAGGTAGAGAAACTTCTATTTTCTATTTCCCTATTTAACAAAATATTTGCCATTAGTAGACATGAACATGAATAAGACTGGTAATAGAATAAAATAATCAACTTTCTGTTTAATCATTTGAATATGTTAAATATTGTATATAATTACTATTTGAAATTTACTGATTCAGTAGTTTTTCACTTACAAAATAGGTACTTTTCTGAAATGTGGATGTGTATGTTCAGGCAAATATATGTGCATAATGAATGATACCTAGTATTTATTTGATTTAAAATCCATTAATTAAATATCTAACATTCATGAAATATTACTTAATTTGCATACAGTAAAAGCATATTTATTTTAAATAGAAATAAGAGTTGAAGTTTAATATAGTAATTACATGATGTTACATTAAAGTCAATTATTTTTCCTTTAGCTGGCAAAGAATCATAATGATTTAGGTGATGTGAAGTAATAAATGGCTGGTTGACAAATTTTCCAACATTTAATGGCAGTATGCCACTTAAACATACAAAAGCACATATTTCCTTGTGTTTATATGACATATAAACTAAGATATAGGTATATTTTTTGAAATATGTAATTCTAGTTCCTATAAAGACCGAGTACTATTGTTTGTTTTGTTTTGTTTTATTTTGTTTTTTGTTTTTTTTTTTCCGGTAACAGGACTCGAACTCATGACCTTGTGCTTGCCAGGCAGGCGCTGTGCTGTTGAGCTAAATCCCCAGCCCCTGTATTTTAGTATCCTAGTCATGGTTAAATTTTTATAAATTCAAATGAAAAGATAGCACTGATGAATAAATGAATATGAAAGAAACTGGACACTTTTGTAGCTAAAACAGAGCACAGCATTACATCCTTGGTAGTTGGAGGGTTATATTTTACAGATCAAGTTTGGCAGATTGGTTAGATGGATATTGATGGATGGGAGGAACAACAAAAAGGAGAAAGCCACTGAGGAAAAGACCATGCAATCTGCATGTGAAACTGAGTGAGATCATTATATGACCCTTGACCTATGCCTAAAAGCATACTGTAAAACAAAAACATTAAGATTCAAAATACGTGTGCAGAGATATTATTGCCATGAACCAGAGAGAAATTCATTTGTACTCAGGATCCTGAATATTTAAAAAGCAGTGAGGTATAAATACCCAGGACATTCAAGAGGTATGACATAAATGTAAGACTTATTTCCCATAATTGGAAAAACTAGTTTCCGTCCTCACTTACAACCAAGGACAAAAGGGAAATGCGCCTCCCTTGAGTATAAAATTAAGCCTCCAAATTCCACTACTAATCTGCTACTAAGGTAATTACCCAATACATAAATACAAATACACAAAATGCCTCACACACAACAAGGAGAATATCTGATTGCTATGTAGGTCAGGTTTCTCCAGGGAAACAGAACTAATGGAATGTATAGAAATTTATAAGAGGAGATTTATTATGGGAACAAGTGGAACATGTGAATATGGCAGCAAAGAAGTCCCTGGCAAACCATCTGCACCCTGGACAGCCAGGAAAACCGGGGGAGTAATCTAGTCTGATCGCAGTAACCACAGAGCGGGGAAGCTGATGGTATCATTTTCAGGCCTAAGCTGAAGAGCTGAGAACTCTGGGGAGACTGGTACATATCCTGGTGTCTGAGTGCAGAAAGCCATGAGCTTGTATACATGAGAGGAAAAAAAGGAAAATGACCTTGTTTTTTGCCCAAATGGTAACTGAGTTTGGTGGGTGTTCTAAGGCGGGAGTGGATTTTATAACCCTGCAACCCCAGGGTATCTGTGTTCTTGGCCCAAACTCGAACACACGCCCCCTACTGTCCACAGTGCACGACTGCAGGGCTGGAGGAATAAGCCCTGCTGTCCCTTCACTGTCCCTTCCCTGTCCTGAGCAGTCTTATACTGTGACAGCTTCCCTGTGGCATATTCGTTCAGTTAAGTGCTTCTGGGAAGAAAAACAATTCCATGTAATCCATGATGTAACTTTAATTTTTTTAAAGAATGCTTTTAACCTTTGCAAAAAAAAAATCAGCTTGTTTTGTACGTAAGAACTGCTTTTTTTTAATGAATAAATCCAGCACTACCCACACATACACAAAAAATAAAACAGCAAGAGAAAAATAAAATACCACCAAGCTATTACAATCTTCCTTGTCAATACATATTTTAAATATAGATGATGTAAACTTTGCAATTATCAATTGAATGTTGGTAGAATGGATGTTTTAAAAAAATATGATCCAGCTGTTTGCTTTCCATAAGACACATATTTTAGGTAAGAAGACACAAACAGTTTTAAAATGGATGTATGGAAATAATATGCCATGTATCAGACAATACAGAGATTGGACCAAAGCATTTTATAATGAACAGGTGAAAATATCATACATTGTTAAAAATATTAAACTATCCAGAACATACAACAGTTATACATGTATAGGGAATTAATAGAGTCCCCAAATCTCTGAAGCTAAATTAATAGAAATTCCAGGAGAAAGAGACTGTCTTACAATCATAGTACGCATCTGCGAGACACCACATTCAGGAATGAACTGACAACTATACAAAAAGGTAATAAAAATAGCAGGAATTGTACTACACTATAGACCAACCAGACCAAACAGATATATAGAATGCTCCACTGGGAAAAAAGAAAAAAAAAAAGGAAGAAACATACACATTTTAGACATGCACACAAAGCTTTCTTTAGGATCCATTTTATTAGAGGCTATTTAAAAATCTCAGAAAATTGAAATAATGACAATATCTTATCTGAATGCAATATAATGGAAGGGCAACCAGTAATAGAAAAAAATAAGAATTTAAAATATATGGAAATTAAACATAACATTCATAATCAACCATTGAATGGTTCAAAGGACTGACCACAAAATAACTATAAAAATATTTTGAGATACATTCCAGTGAAAACAAACAGCACCAAAATCTTTAGTATGAGATGACAATAATGCTTACAGGGAAATTTATCATTGCAAATCTTACATGAAAAGAAAAATAATGTTACAGATCAATAATCTATCCTCATGGCATAAATAACTACATAAATATACTAAATTCAAATTTAGTGAAAGATGTAAATAATATTACAGCTGAGAAAAGTGAAATAAAGGGAAAAAGCATTAGAATCAATAAAATAACAACAAAAACTCATCTGTTATCTCATCTGTTGTAAAGATCATACAAATTCAAAGTGATCTAATCACAGCCAAGACAAAATCTCAAGTATCAGTGGTACTACAAAATCTCTGATACAGTTCCAATAAAATAAAAGACATCCAAATTGGAAAAGTAAAAGGAAAATTGTTCTTGTGTTCTACTTACATGACCTATAGATGGATAATCCCAAGGAATCTACAGCAGAGCAAAAAGCAATACACGAATTAGGCAAAGTAGTAGGGAACAAGAACAATGCATAAAATCAGTTGTATTTCTATCTACTAGTAATAGAAAAACCAAAAATGATATTAGGGAAAAAATTCCATTTACAAAGGAGTAATATATTTAGGAATACAAGCAACCAAAGAGGTGAAGGACATAGTCACTGTAAAATAAAGATACTGTTCAAACAAATTTAATAAAACTTAATCAATTTACATCTATCCCTTGTTGAATTATTAGAAGACACATGTTATTAAGATGGTAATATTGGCCAAGCTATCCACAGGCTCAAAAAGTTTTTTCTATTACAAGCTGAATTGTCACTTTTTGCAGGCATAAGAAAGTCTATTATTGAATTCATATGCAAATTCAAGTAGTCTCTATTAGCCAAAACAGTACTGAAAATAAAGATCAAAGTTGAGAGATTCACGTTCCACATTTTTAAAACTTTCTAACAAACATCAGTCATCACAGCAGTGTAGTAAGAATAGGCATATAGAGTAACATATAACTATTGGGAGTTCAGAGATAAACAATGGTGATTTTCTACATGAGTTCCAATATTGTACAACTGGAAAGGTAATAGTCATTCAAATAATACTGGGA